GAGCCTAAGGAGTTCGTTTTACCAGAGTTTTGGAGAGTGGTTAGGACACCGTATACAAAAGATGCACATCCCAACTTGCAATATTCATTGACAACATCACATTTAATCAAAAGTACATCTAACTTGCATCAAAAATTAAATAAACATATATAACTTTACAATTAATAAAATATAACATAAGTTAAGTTTACCAGAGTTTTTGAGAATATCATAAGGATATGTCCTAGACCACTTATTATAAACATCTCCGCATCTAGTGATAGTTGTACAAATTGATTTTGGGGTTCCTAGAATACGACATTTGTTATAGAGATTTCTTGAAATTGAGGTAGGACAACATATCTTTGTTTCTACTTGAATTTGTGCCATGACCACCATACTCATTATGAGCACACTTAAAATCACAGTTTTGCCTGTCATTTTTTATTGATTAATTGTTTGATTACACTATATATGTAGGGTAACAAAGTTATGATTATTGATGAAATGGTGATGAAACTAGACTTGGTTAAAAACTACTTCTTCTACAATTTTCACCACAGAGTTCAGTTAATTAATGCTATAGATGAGTCAACACAATGGCTACTACATGCTTGGCCAACTACCTTATCTCTTCACGTTAATGGCGTTTATCAAGAGAATTTATTTGCAGTATTTATTGAATTGTTTATTATTGATATTTCTAGTAGTCGTGGTAGAACAACATATCTCTGCTTCAACCTGAATTTGCGCCAGGATCAACATACATACTCCTTATGAGCACAATTAAAATCACAGTTTTGCCTTCTATCTTTTGATTGATTTATTGTTTGATCACACTAATGAGAAAAACAAAGTTATAGTCAAGCTTGTATTGACAAAATGGTGGTGAACCTAGACTCAGTTAAACGCTAATTCTTCTTCTACAATTTGGTACCATAAAGTTCAACTATCTATTGCTCCACAATGGCTGCCACATGCTTGGCTAACCACCTTATCTCATCAAACTTATGGCATTTATCTAGAAAAAAATTATTTGTTTTCCGAAAACTAAAATAAAGTATGACATATTTATATCCATATGTTCGTGACAAGAAGTACTTCAGGAAGTAGTACAGGACTTGGGTTTCAATGTAACATGGTTGTTCTTTCAACTGAATTATAAGATGATG